TATATATACACATATATATACACACTAGTGTGGTTTGCAGGAATGTTTGGCAAAACATTCATGCGTTTAAGGGTTAACAAGATTCTTTTTTTCATATCCCCTATTTTGAAACACAAAGTGGCAGAATAATTTGCGTGCAAGCGGAGACACTTCAACGCAGAATCGCTTCAACTTGCTTTAACCAGCTTGAAGAGAGGAAAACAAGCTGGGAAAGGGATGAGAAGACAACGGTGAAAAGAAAACAGACGAGCGGCAGCAGAGACTTGATCTTCACTAGAGTGCAGGGGCACAAGCTCTGCCAACGGTGGAAATAAGGGAGACGAACACTCCACCTCAGTATCGAAACACAAAACATTTTTATTGTTTGCGCTCAGTCGGCAGCTCAGACAGGGACGGCATTACAAATCAAATCCATTGCTTCACGATCCTACCCCGCTGATGGAGACGGATCTCTCTCTCTCTCTCTCTCTCTCTCTCTCTCTCTCTCTCTCTCTCTCACCTTTAATACCTGTCCTCTTCCCTCACTCACCTCTCCCCCATGTCTCTGTCTTGTCCGCACAACACCTACCCACCCACCCCATCTCCACCCTGCGACCCTCTCCTCTCGCCAAAACATCCTCCCCCTTTTCTCTGCCCATCTTCGCACTCAGGCGTCTGGGTTGATAAGTCACGGAGCGATGTGGCAGGCAGAGGAGTGAAAGTCGCTGCAGATAAAAGTGGAAGTGTCAGACAACCCCTGGAGGGACGCGTTGCTTTGCGCCGTTTTCCTTTCATCATCCTTGATTTGGCCCTCTCTTCACTTCCATATCACTTTCCACGTCCCGCTGACTCTCCCCTTATGTTTCTCCTTGCTCTACCGTATCATGGTCTTGCCCTCTTCACTCCAACTTCTACTTTTAACTACTGGGTGCTCCCAAGGGACCGAGGATGAGGAAGATGGAAAAGAGGGTGGTGGAAATGGGGAAAGAGGCGATAGGAGAGGTGTTGAAGGAACAGAGAGGAAAGGATACAGAGAAAAAGGAGGAGCAGTGCCAGTGCTCTAGAGGCCAATCTACAAAGACAAGCAAGACCCCCTCCCTTCCCCTTAAATCACGGCTGTGACCTTTTCTTTTCCACTCTATCATCCATCCATCATCATAGTGGTCCCTCTGTGGCTGCACCGCTCTTCTCTTCCCCTTTACATAACAACCTGTCAGAAAGCCAACGGAATACAGGTTTGAAGAATACGAGTTTGTGTTGTCTTTTGGGTAGCGTCGGTGCTACGGCATTGCACTTACACTGTTGGGGTCAGGTGTTCAACTCCCACTAGGGTCATGAAAAAAATAATTGCACTGATGGAGTGCTTTGGATAAAAGCGTCCAGAAAAAAAGGAATGGAGGACACATTGAAAAGTGCAAGTTCTGAACAAAGCCAAAAGCGACATATTATGACCAGAATCTGCCTTTTCACAATTCATATGCTATATTTATTTTTTTTACTTGTCTCTGGCTTGGTACCAAGAGAAAGCTAGCTAGTGAAATAGCCAGCTAAAACTAAATTCACTTATTGATTTTTTTTTACGAGCTGTTAACTATAAATGAATACCTTGATTTCAATATGAATAAAAAGTAGACAAATGGACAGACCCAGTCAAACAAATATAGCCGACTATATCTGTAGGGTAGTATAGAGAAGCTAAAAAGTAGAACTTTATCCAGAACTTTTTTTCTAATCCCTTATTTTTGCGTTAGAAAGACAACAAAGACGGAGGGAGAAGATGCTGGATTGCAAAGCTAGTATAGACCTCTGGATGAAGACAACACTCCCCGACTGTAAGGCTGTTACAGCAGTATAACCTACTTTCCACTCCGACACAAATAGCTAAAGCAGGAAATGCAACATCTGCTGAGCTCACTGAACCGTAATTTGCCATCAATAAAAATGGCAATGAGAGAAAAGCTTGCACCAATCAAAACCCATCTCCATTGTTGGAATAACTAAAGTGGGCGCTGCTTAAAGCTTTGAAATCTGATTTTTTTTTACATGAGGACACACTGTAAAGAGCTACTTTCCATCTGTTGGAGTGGCTTCTGATGTTCCTTTCAATCATCCAATCGTTTAACAAGAGCTTGCTGGAGTGGCCCGACGTGAAGGGCTCTTCTGCGCTCATTGACAGGGATGGATGAGATTTCATTACTGCCTGTCTAATGATCAAAGCCGTGTATGTGTGTATGCATCCATGTGTGTATAAGCCAGCGCTAGAACAAGCGGGATATTTATGATTCAGCACTGAGACTCAAATAAAAACTTTTGAAAAGCAATCAAACAAAAGATATCTTGCCTGGCACGGCTACATTTCTCACTGGAATAACGCCGTGCCAGCTGGGCCGCACCTGAAGGCCACCGTAAAGCCTTTTAATTGAATTCAGCGTGTGACTCATACAGAGTGAAACATCCTGTGGAGGAGACTAACACTCTTTGCTACTACAGCATAGGGGAGGAGCTCTGCAGGAGTAAGCAGCTGTATCCATGCACTGTAAATGATAAGGTGTTATGTAGCTTTACTGGGAAAGGGTGGTGTGAAAGCTTCACTGATAAGAATATGTGCTTCGTAGTTATTAAATTTAGATAATCAATGTTTACAGAACCTTGCCTTTTCTGTGATCTTGTGTTCTACCGGAGCAAAGTTTTTATAGGAATTAAAATAGAATGGATTAAAGTAGATCTGCTACTGCTTAAAAAAAACGGTAACAAATTAGGTAATATACAATAGAGAAAATGTATCAGAACATCACAATGTTATTATGTTCATCCCTGAATTTTAATCATTGTTGCATTTTAAAATAAAATGGTAATTTCCTCAAATATTATAAAACGTACAGTTTATGCAGATGCCGGGGTTTGAAATGATGAAGAGTAAGAATCACTTTTGAGAACTTTAAATTTGAATAATCAAGTGCTGCAACATCCAATCCTAGTTCCACAGCTATAGTTCTTTTCACTGACCACTGTGCTACGCTACATCCTATGCCCCACTCGCGCTCACCTGTAGTTCTCGGACCACCCTCTTGATGAGGTAGTTGCCCAGCTCCACCCCTTGAAGGCCAGCCTGAGTGGAGGAGATGGAGTAGAAGATGGCTGCATTTATCTTATTCACGTCCTCCTCGAAGTCAAGAGTGGCGAACTCACGGACGATGCTCTGTGAGAAAACAGACATTTTATTTGTCAAGTCACACAGACAAATTGCACGTCACTCATCCAGATACAAGCCCAGTGTGGCTAGATAGCTGCGACCAATGCAGGAGTCTACTATAGCTATACCAGAGCTGCTGGAGCAAAACTGTGCAAAACCGTTGCGGTATTTCACACCATGGCATATTCTCAAACTGCAGAGTTGTCAAAACCACCTTTTCCTCACTGTGGATAGCAAGTAAAGAAAGTCAGCACAGTAGAGGCTGCTCCCAGGGGGATGCACAGTTTAAAGGTCTCTGTATTGTTTTTCACACAGCAATAATCCATTTGTCAGCTGAGAAGAGGAACAAAGTAGTAAATCCCAGATGTTTAACTATCTCCCAAGGTGTGGTAAAGTGAGACAAACCATTACAACAGCCTGCAGCTATTGATTCTAACCTGAATGTTATCAGAGATGTCTTCAGTGAGGGCCACGTGCAGTACAACCAGGGGTTCTCCTGGCATGGCGGCATGGGTGAAGGCATAACAACGGCGGTATGGCCCAACTCTGCGCTTCAGGTCCGTCCAGTTCCTTATAGGGTGCACTGCCTCGTACCTGGCAGAGGGCTGATGGTTAGTTTTTCAGTTTTCAACTAACCGTTCACCAAGTCCCGCCCTCCTTAGCTACTGTTGCTACATTCGGCAAGCTCTCCATTTTGTATAGTACATGTGCAGTTTACAGTGATAACGGGACACATTTAGTGCTCGAAATTATTTGAAACACCGGGTCCATTATTTCAGACGGAGGTAGACTAAAGCAGGGTTGTTTTTGCAGCTCGTTTTGCTCATGGAGAAACTGTTGCTGGCAGATTTTGGGAGTTGGTTTTAATTCCGCCTCTGGATGACTTTGTAATGTTTCCAGCTGATTCGTCTTAAAACAAGAACCCTGTAAAAATGTGTCTTAAATATGCACTTGATGGCTACATACATGATCGCATGCTAAATAATTGTAGGTGAAGCCCTATGCAAAAGGCCAACACCCTCACCAGCTAAAGATTCAGAAGACAGTGTCGAGCTAGTTAGCTCTAGTATGATAAGAGTTGGATCTTACATTTTTCCATGTTTAATTCTAGAAAACCCTGGTTGGATTGACCTACAAAAATATGTTATCCCTGCAGCACTCCACTTACATCTGTTAAGCTATGATTGGACAGTCACTGTTCAGGGGAGGGGTTTAGCAAACGGTCAGTTTTCATTGCTGTGCTGTATAATTTCAATGTAAGAAGAGACTGTGATGAAATGAAGGAGGGAAAGAAGGACAAAGGAGAAGCACAGTATGAATGCCCTTACTGGCTGATCCTCTGCAGGATCTCGCAGGGGGACTGCCAGGTGATTCTCTCCAGTCGGAGCAGACCTACAGAGAACCACTCGGACAGCAAGCTCTTCAGGGTGCCGTTCAGGTCCTGGGAGAGCAAAAACAAGTTCAGGGTTTAGAATTAACATCCACATCTAGCAGATAATTGAAAATTCACCACATTCTTTCCTTTGTTGAGCAGCTCAGCAGCCGGTCCATCAGGAAAATGAAAGCTGAATGGTGCATATTGTAAAAATAATGCAAACAAATCCTATTTGATGAATATGGAAGAGAATGGTATGGTGTCCACTACATTAACTTATCTGAACACTGTCCTTTCACTTTGCTATGGAGGATTCTGTTCTCATTCTTGTCTATCTCATGAAGGGGAAACACCAAAAGATCATTCTGTAGAAATTACAACTTTTATAGGACTATTAAAAGAGGCGGATAAACAGAGTCCTAACAGCCTTATAGACCTATTTTCTTGGGAGAACTTACAAGCTCTCCATCATATTGACAAGCTTCCAAGTTGCTCAAGTTTGTCTGTCGGCTATAAACAATTCCAGACGGCTATCTTACACACTGTGAGGGGTGTATGGTACCCTAGGCCTTTGTATGCCGTTTGAATGTTTTCATATTATGAGTAGTGATTTGTTTGAGCTCGCAATGTAGAGGAGGCACTTCAATAAACTTGCAATTTCAAAGCAGGCCTGTCCTCCCGCAAAGGTCAGACTTCATTTAAAGCAAATCTTTTGCAAACACACAAACAAGCGGACGCGGCGCACACACTCAAACACACTGAGGCACATAAATACAGCTTATATTGGCTGTTCCTTTGGATGTCTTCACTTCAGGCTTGCTTTAATGCCAGCTTGTCAGTCATAATAATGGTTAATACAAACAAGCTCCAGTACAGTCATGGTGTGGAAGCCACTGGCTGAAATTCACTATAAAAACCAAAACTAACACAATTTGAAAGTTTTCCCCACATATATGCATTAGGCACTGCATTATTCATCTCTATGGTTCAGAAGTCTCACACTGGAAAATTCTGTTGAGTGAGGAGCAAATCAAAAGTTTGAAAGTTTAGCAGAGACACATCACTACTTTTGTGAAGATGTGCGTGTGTATTTGTGTTCCTCTAACCTCACAAACTGCCAGAGGTGAAATAATCTATAAAATGGCCGGTAATCCTTGCCCAGCATTTTCTGTGGAAAACGCAGCAGATAAACAACCCATGAGAGTACAGCTGCTGCCGTGGGTAGCCAATTCTCTCCCACACAAAAGGAAGGCCAGACTGAGATGTGTGTTCCGTTGACCTCGCGGAAGATGATGTCTTTTGAAATGGAAGGGTCTAGCATTGGAAGCCTACGGTTAGGAGAGACGCGGAAGAAAGGAGGGAAGGGAAAAGACAAAAATCCTGCACTCCATTGGAAAGAAAATAAAGCGAGGCGCTGATGTTGCGATGCTGATGCAGCCTCTATTATCTTGAGCTGCAGTTATATTGTGATTATACAGAGTGATGGAGACTGCAGTGCCTGGAAGGAACAGTCCGTCTTTCCTAGGCCAAATGACCACCAACTGCCAAAGTGTTTACAGGTCAAACTCGGAGTGCACCGATACTTTCACTCCAGTGGGCTGCATGCCACATGTCAGCCGGTCTGTGGGGAATAAATAGCCTCACTTATACTGTGTGAAATCCCAAAGAGCCAACTAAAACGATGTCTCTGACTTCTTTACATCTTTCATCCACTCAAGTTTGTGGACAGATGAACAAGAATGAAAGATCTTGAGGTAGAAGGAGTAAGAAGGGACATCAAAACTAAATTACCCAACCAGAAGAGATTAACCTAGAGTAGAATTCAACACTCTTGCAAGAACCAAAGTATCTGCAGCCTTGATACAACTTTCAAACTTCCATTACTTTAGTAATCTTTGTAAATTGTATGACCCCCCCCCCCCTTAATGTCTCTGCTACTTTTATTATCTGAACCATTGTGGACAGCAGGTTTTTCTCTCCCCTGGTATGCACTTACTATCAATACATGTACTAAAAGCTTCATATTTACCATGACCTTTTCTCATTTTAAGCTCAATCAATTCTGGCCATAACAAGAAAAGATTGCTGTGCACCCCAAGTCCAAGGTACGAGTGCCCTGTAGGTAGCTTAGACCTTTTTAAGCTACAAAAGGTCTCAGTAGGCCTTGGTTATTGAGATTAAATGCATCTGAACCACACTGCAGCAGGAATACAATATGTATTGAGCTGGAGAGAAGAGGCCAGAAGTCCTCTGGCGATGGAAAAATCATATAAAACTCTATTCCAAAACAAAACATAAAAATTGATCTCAACATTGACAGAAAGCTGTTTTCACTCAATCCTCAATCAGTATCCAAAGACAGCACATGTCATGATGATCAGTACGCTTGTTTAAATGGTCCCCGAATGATCTCAAGCCGGGCAGTTTTAGTTTGGCCATTACAGCCTTTGATTGCGCACACATCACTTTGGTGATCTTGATTATTGTATCTCAGCATAACAGCTTTGCAAATCAGCAGTCTGCATTTCCTCTGTGTTTCAGAAAAGTGGACACAACATGTCAGCTATGGCAGAAGCAGTATTTGCTTTGGATTAAGCCACTAAATCCCAAATTGTGTTTTCAAAATACAAAACCAAAGTATCTTTCTAGATGGTGGGTTTTTGTTCTTAGTAGATCTACATCTATACACACGATAGGGGCTACTACTTATACTGTTTTTTTTTATAAAATAGCTGCTCATGGTCTTTAACACACAAATAGCCATTTTCCAGCCTACAAGCTACTTGTAGATATATAAATACAGCTTCATGCACTCTTAATACATGTTACTAAAAGAGTCCGCCTGTCAAATTACTCTCTATTGACCGAGTGAGTGAGCACGTATTAATATCAAAACATCTACGGTACATGCCATATTTTGTATAGAGCTGTGGTTTGGGAAAAAAAAAATCTGTGCAGGTGTTAGATGAGATTAACCCCCAGAGTTCACTTGTACTCTTGAACAAACCTGCACAAAAGAGCATGGATTTATGACAGCAAGCCTGCCATCTGAAACAATATTCCACTCTTAGTCCAAGGTGCGCATGAAAACTCCTACACTCAAGTGCTGAACTGAATTGAAAATTGTAATTATATTTGACTGAACATGAATAACTGAATATTGAGACTCGAAAGGGTAGCTTTTCTGAAAAATAAGTTGCCAAAAATATGATATTAAGAGAACAAAGAGCATGGGGATCATGTCTGTGTGATGTAATGAAACATGTATATCTTTTAATTAAAAGTATATATTTATTTTGCTTAAAAAAAATGATTCAGCATATTCATTGCATGCTTGATTTATATTCAGCATACAGAAGCTCTTGTCTCTTCATGTATAGAATGAAATATTATTATATGGTCCATTTTAACACAAGAACATTCCAGTAAGTGGATCAGTCCAGCAAAGACGAGCTAAAACACAAAATTGAGCTTGGCACTGTCTGTGCCAAAAGGCTTGGTAGTATCTATTTGTAAAAACACCCTAAGCAATGAATAAAAAAAAAAGGTTTAGTTCCTGCAGTTTGATTATTAGGAAGGTAATCTGGGACAAAGGTCGTGGCCACAATCTGTGAGGAAATGTGAGCCAGGAGCCAGGAGTGCAGTTGTGCCTGAGTGAGGGGGTGAGTTGTGTAAGCAGCTATACTCAGCATAATGCTAATGCTAATGCTGTTAAAATATAACACACACAATGCCTCTAAATTACTGAACATTAAGGTTCAGCTGTTCAGGCCGGAGGTGCCAAATGACCAAACGCGAACAGCACTGCTTTGGCTCATGCGAGCATCCGTAGATAATGTAAACAAATGATTTACCCTTATGTGCGGGGTCTCGCAAGCTTTGGATGAGATTATTTCAAGCACATCGGCTCGGAGATCCACCAGAAACTTCACCCCACCCTCGGCCCTGCTTATATGGTTAAGCAACTGTTTATAACGGGGAGTCAGGCCGTATCGCAGCCTGTCTTCAATTTGCAGAATGGTCACCAAGTCTCGTAGCTGAGCGTCCAACAGCCTCAAAGCGAGCTCTGAAACTCCCTTGTGGTCTACTCCGAAGTCTTGCGACAGCTTCGTCAGGAAGCCGAGTTTGTCTTCCTTGTCGAGACTTCCGTAAAAGTGCATGAACTCCAAGCTGTTTGATTCGGGGGGAGGAGGGTATTTGTCTCTCGTTTCGTATGTGGGTAAAGGTGCAACGACCCTCGCCAGTATCTCCTCCATGCCCGTGACACCGCCACGAATTGGGGTCGAGTACCAACGGCAACCGTTGACGTCCGAGGCCTTCAGCGCTGCTTTAAGGACAGCCCGGCTTCGCCAGCACCACACACTGCTTCGAAAAGCCCAGTTGGCAGGATGGAATATCATGGTCAGCTGTCTGTATGGGATCCGCGACCGCCCTGGACCAGTGAACACACAGGAGGGAACCGTTTCCGGGTCTCTTAAAGAGACAGTACAGCTGTCACGAGCACAAGCCAGAAGGTTCCACACAGGTAGTATAGAAATACAGGTAAAACCGCCCTTGTGGGAAGGAGGTGAAATTCACAGACTCCGAATGAAGGGAATCGACTACATATCTGAAGGAAGGTGTAACAATTTGCATCAAAAAACAACAACCAAAAGACAACAATGTACTGATAACAGAGTTGATGGTGAAAGACTGTATAACTTCTTTGTTTACTAGGAAAATATATTCAGAAATCAGACCCAGACTGTGTATCACTCAAATAATTTGTTGGGATTTTGTGGAATAAATGCTCATTTCTAAATCTGATGCTGTTGTTGTCATGTTCCTATGAATTATTGTTTATATTTTGATGTGTTTCATTCCAAGATCAGTAACATCCCAATCATACAACAAATAACAATTTGGTCACCATGATATTAAAATCCAAATGTCTGCAGACATCCTGCAATACTTTGTTTCTAAACCAATGGCTGTTTAATCCGGTATAAAGAGTACCCATAGGAAGTGAATCGACAGAAGATTGTTGTTGATTTCTTTTTATAATCTGTAGCTGAAAAATGGGAGTCTGCTTGAAAGAAGGATAATAATGTAAACTTTTAACTTATTGGAAAGAAAGGTCTGATCTTGCATCAGACAAATGGCTTGTCAAGAATGTCTTCTGATTTCACAATTAAGTTGTTATCGTCATAATGAGACCCCAAATCATGTTTTTTTTATATATGGCAACTGCCACAACAGAAACACAGTAGGCTATATAAATGGCAGTACTTTTATTGTTGTATATTTCATTGTACATTATTTTAAAGACAAACATGATGGTAAAAGGGCTTCTCAGAATTAAAGGCTGGGCACCATCCCTCACTTTTGGACATGTGTATAAAAAACGGAAAAGAAGCAAACAGATAATAATGCATGTCCACTAACCAATGAGGTTGCTTCTGTCTACAGCAGGGGGTTTTGCAGCTTGTTTTGGTCATGGAGAACTCTACTTACGCCTGTTAAGCTAAAAAAGGACAAAGGAGAAGGACAGTATGAGTACATACACACAGTACTAAGTCAAAGCCTCCTCTACTGGAATCCATCGTACACGATTTTTTTTTGTTTAATTATGTTTGATATGCCTCCTTAGACTGATATACCAATAATTAGGGTATATTAACTATGAGACACTTAATCGCGTCATCCACTGACATTTTTTATATGACTACAGTATGAAGATATTAAAACAGTCTTTGTTTGGTGCAGTGACCTTTTATGCTCTTTTAGTATTTCAGAGTTTTATTTTTTTGTCAAGTGAAGTTAAAATTAATAAACTATTTTATTTGTAATAGTCTTAATGCTATTTAACGGGTTTCCACTCTGACAAGAATGCAACTATGATAATAATCAGATGTGGTGGAGATTATGACAACAATTATTAAAAGCTTCAGTATAAAAGAAAATATTTCAGAATTGTCTGTCAAAAACCTCACAGTTTTACCACTGATGTCCCCTTTCCAGAATGTTTGAGCAACATTCAAGTACTATACTGTGGTATTCCTCCTCTGGGTCTGGGATGAAGTGGAGCTGATGGACATAAATCCGTGCCTCAGCAAAGATTGGACTACGAAGAGAAAAAAAATACTAGATTAGTCTGTTCAAATGGCGTAGAATACAAGAACAAATAGCTGTAGAAGAGAGGATGTGCCCATAATGTAAACCAAATAACTGGAGTAAATAGGGTTGAAGGAGGTTAATCAGGAACCAAACCGAGGTCACTAAGTCAAGTGTTCCTTGAGGCTTGCTTGCTGGTAAATGCAACGGTATCTCAAGAGACTGTGACAAAATGTCTAACTCCATTACTTATTAGCTATCTAATCTTTTCTAACACTGTTTTTATCACATACACACAGTTCATAATACAGGCAAAAACAAACTGACTGTGTAGCCTTTTAAAACTTGACATATTAATCTGTATACAGAATATAGGTAGGCCTATACCACACCAATACCAGCCCAATCGATATATTAAATGCCCAAACACAGCGGTGCTGCATCTTTATTCTTTCATGCTTGTCAGATCAGTGATGTCGCAGAAATGTCAAGTGTTAAGGAGACCCAAAGCTAGTAATATCTGCGACATCTAACGCCAAGGGGAAACAAGACATCATTGAATAACAGGTCACAAAGTAAGACGTATCACAGAATACGGTGTAACACCACCTCATGTACGCCCATCTGTCAACTCCCGGAACCTTTTCAACCAATCAGAAGACAGCTGGTATTGACGCGTGCTCAGGTCAACCCAGGAGCTCAACGCTGGCAAAAATCGTGCGAGTTTCCGCTGTGTCCACCAAGTGAATTGAACCGCCTAAAAAGTTTGTATTTTAACGAAATATAGTTTAGTATTTGCCCACATTACAAGTGGTGAGCGAGTCCTATGATACGGCAACGTTACATTTTCGCTTGCTAGCCATGTAATGTTTCGCAAACGTGGAACAAAATATTTGTTTTTAGCTCGCTAACCTTTACGTTGAAATTAACGTATTCTTCTCTGCCTGCGTTAGCTGACGTTAGCTAGCTAATTGGCTAACTTGGAAAAGCCAAAGCTTTGCAGCGCGGTTATGATTTTTACATTGTGAACCCAGATTGTTTTCTTTGCGTTACATGTATTGTTCACTGTGCTCTGCAGAGGTACATGTGAGAGATGGGAAGAGAGAAGGACGCTAAAGGAGAAGGGAAGGCCAAACACAAAGCAACGAAGCTGAAAAAGCTGAGTGATAATGAAGGCGCTGTGGCCGGGGGAGATGCGATCAAGAACAGGTGAGTCGCGTTAGTGTGTGGGAGAAAGTAAAGATGGATAGAACACTTATTTGCTGAGAGGTACAGTTCAGACAGGACTATTATCTGCACTATGGCGTTATTATTCCATCAAAAGTCATTTTCAAAATGATAGTTACCCTGTCATACTTGTCAAGTTGAAGCTGCTCTCTTACACTGTATGGCTGTGACCCGACAGCAGCACAACCAACATCTGTTCAGCATCAGGCCCACCCATCAAAGCTGCCTTCTGCATGGCTCTTGTAAGGAGCATTTGTGTTGTTGATGTGTGTTTAAAAAATGAATTTGGATTAACATCACTTCCGTGCAGTGGTGATAAATCGGGTAAGAGTGAGGTGTGTGTGTGTGTGTGTGCTACTAAAGGATACACGCATGAAGGTGGCTGACTTGTCGTGCAGGCCAGTGGCATTGAGCGCATGCATTAAAATTCACTACAGGGTACTCCATCTTCACATGAATAAATTAATTTACCTTGATATCTGATGCGTTCATTACCATGCACATGTGAGCAGACAAATGAATGTGGAGCGATCTGTCACTGGCTTGTGTAATTGATGAGAGCAGGGAGATGAATAGACACCTGAAAGCGCTACTGGCGGTAGAGCAGGCAGCTTTCTGTTCCAGCTAGCCTCGTGTTATTTCATGGCACACTGACTGAATTACTGATTAAGTTTCAACTGATCCTCATCAGCTACAAGACTCATGGAACACATGGGCCTCTTTCTTTAAATGTTGGACTGCCATAATCTGATCAACAGAATTGGAAATTCTGAATAAAAATAAAAAAAGATTATAGCTGGGAAATAATTGCTGCTCAAGTCCATGTTACATGTAGCCCTGAAGGGTGGAAAGGTCAAAGTGTAAAGAGACATGTTCAGAACTACAAGGGGACAACGCTCGTCTGATCGGTGGCATTTTATAATGTCTTACTAAAAGGACGAGAATCTAACATCGAGCGGATGTGCTCTCACCTTAAAGCTACAGTTGGTAACTTTAATGAAAATAGCCTTTTGGTAAAACTGACACTATTCCTCAACAGTCGTATAAGAGACAGATAATCGCTGATTCAACTGTAAAACAAGTCAGTGCTGATCAAATATGAATCAAGATTCTGTGATTGTATTGTCCACTTCTGTGTTTTCAGAAACTTATTTTAGGATGGCTGTAAAAATGATAACATTTGCTGTGGTTGGTGGGCGATATGACCTAAAATGTGTATACATACTCAAAGCATGATTCTACCAATCTCTATTGGCAATTAAGGGAACATATCTTCAGAAAGAATTCATTATATTATATTCAACAGAACGGACGTGTTTATTGGCTCCAAATAAGAATGAGCGTGAGGTAAAGACCTAGATGTGTGTTAGGAGTATCCAGCCCCATAATGTAAATGTAATATGATTCATTCAGAGTTAGTGGTCTTGTAACAGGCATGCTGTTGTGAATGAGCTGTATTGTTGAGCAACCTGGATCTCAGCAACAAAGACTATTTGGAAAAAAACTCCCAACATATTTACTGTTGTTTTTATTATTAGTACAAGTTTACTTCACTACAGCCAAAATGGGAATTACAGTACACTTAAACAAATTGACATTTTTAAAGAAAACCAAAGCTGACATAACCTTTTACATCTTAAGCTACTGGAAACACTACTACTACTACTACACTTCTAAACAGTACACTAAAATATGTGTCTGAAAACATTTGGAATAAAAGGCTATGCACTCACAGAATATTGATTCATATTGGATCAATGCTACCGAGTTTGACTGTGATCGGATTGTACGAGCCTCACGAGCAATGATTGACACTTTGTTAGACACGTCTTGGCTCTGATTGGTTGTTTTTCATTGGGCCCCGGTGGAATCTTGCAAATACCATTAGGAGCAGTAAGAAGAGGAGGAGGAGAAAGTGTATCTGTCTTATGTGCTACTGTCAATACATAGTGACAGTTTGAGCAAATATGACAACATTGTTTTTATTAAAGTTACCAACTGCAGCTGTAAGTGCAGCTCAAACTATTGAGTAATCAGGCATGTCACTGTGAAAGGGAAAGCAGCTTTCTCCCACATTCCACAATATTTCTCTGAACTGCTCATGTGATACAAATACTTTGTCAGTAACGAGCCTTTTTCTTCTACTCTCATTTTCATCCCGGCTGATCTTGACATCCTGATGAGCAGTGCAAAGACAACTAAAGCTGCAGAGAAAACTGAAAATGGAAAGCCTCATAAAAAGGTAAATCAGTGATTTATGTCTCTTCTCTCAGTACTGCACATGGCGAGATGTGGCTGGAATCTGCACAGACGTCCTTTATAGGCTGAGGCCAATGTAGAACATCTTGATGGAAATTCAGTGTCATCTTGACGAGGGGAAGGATTGTGATGGACATGTGAGTCCACCCATAACTCGTGTCCTGTCTGGAATTAGCACAGGGGTGAAGATTCCAGCCCCAGTTACCCACTGACCCCAGTGCAGACTAACGCAGCTGCAGCATGTGCAACAGCTTGTCCTACCAAGTTACTTCCATGCTGTGGGAGTCTTACGTCATTGTCAGGGGAATATTTACATGCATACCCAGACCCATGGAAGTTATTATCTTACTCTTATCTTAATTATGCCAGCTTCTAACCAACAGTCCTATATCAAGGTATTGCATGACGTGTTTACGTGTTTCAAGATTAAAAATATGATGTGCAACAAATGTGCATACATGTACTCGCCAGAAGCCAGAATATATGACATGAACCCCTTTTGATTGTATGAATGTTTAAAGACTTTATGCATATGTCTGTTTATGGAAGCATGAACACAGTTACTGTGCATAGTGTCACAGGCCATCTGTGTGCATTGAAATACAGTTATGCTGTGTTGAACTCCTCCCCGCAGGTCAAGACGCCTAAGACTGAACCACTAGAGTCAGCCAGCAGTACCAGGTAGGAATCAAGTCATAAAACAAGTAGACTGCACCTTATTTTAGGCTGTGATACTAAACTGCTGGAGGTGGATTGATTTCCAGTTTAAATCTGGAGCTCTCTGCCCTGCCCCCTTTTTTCCTACGGCAACCAGAGGGATACAACGGGGACTACCATAGAATCTGTTACGGTTATAAGCAACATGACAATGTTATTAATATAATACTATGTTTGTTTATTAACTGGACTAACAGAGGCACTAGTGTCTGACAGGTTTTGTGCGATTTAGTGCCAGGCAACATGAAGGGGGTGAAATATGGAGGGGATGCTCACGTTGTGTATGTTTACAAGAAAGTTAGTGTTTTTTGGGGCAGACGAGACACAGCAGAGGAAGTCACTAAAACTGCGCCGATATGGCAACATTTTAGATTTGAAACCGAGGAAACTGGTGAGCCGAAAAACAAGTCCCTCCATTCTCAGTAGTGGGCTCTCTCAGTTTCATTACATAACGCTCTGGAGCAGCTGCAGAGTCAAGTGTGACATCTTGTGGGATTTTATTTTGGTAGACCAATCTGGTCCCATATTTGGATTAATATCATACTGTTCGGAATATGTTACGCTGGCCCAAGCTTATTGAAAAGTTACCATGCAGCCAGAAATCCTATTTTTCTCTTCCCCTCCTGAGGTGATGGAAAGTCATTCTTGTGTTTTGATGTTGAAGGTCCCTGGATAGAAACCATCCCATTTTTTGTCATTTTACGATGTTTTAAGCGGCCTCAAAAAAAAAAAAGTATTTTAATCTTCATTGAAGACGAATATCTGTGGCTTGTCAGGAAGGTAATCAATGAGAACGCATGGTTTGAGTAGTTTGATGCTCAGCAGGATTGCAGACCTTGGCCAAAGACCTGCTGTGTCAAATCTGTCTCACAGCAGGGTGTCGACAGAGTTGTTAATGGATTGTTTCCCAGATGTGGATTCAACCCTACCCGGTATGACAAGAGACATTTCAAAGGAGATGTCCGTTGGAAAAACTATTTTGCTAAATTCTGTCTTTTAATGGTTCCCTTCAGGGTTTTCTTTCTTACAGAAAGGCTCAGGTGGCAACTGTGCAAGTTGAGTGGGTTTCATGCAGGGAGGAAGCTGAAGGGCTCGCAGCAGAGTTAGGGAAGAAACATAAGGCTATTAGAACCACAGACCGTAAATGTCAATGGACGCAGTGACCCACCTTCCTTTTGTATAGCTTTTTATGGATTTTGCTCAGTGGTGCAGTGTACAAAAAAACATGACCATTTTTACACGCACTCGGTTTTTCCTTCTCTCCACATCGAGCAGTGGAACTGAACAGCTTGGCAACAGCACGCACTTACGTTTGCAGAGTAAACAACATTTAGTTTGAAGTGTCACTCAGAACATTGACATTTAGATTCTGAATCAACATTCGAATGCTGTTTTTTACACGTCTTATTCATTATGTTTAATACTGGTATTTCTGCATGTTGCAGATAAAGATCAGGCCACACTGACATTATTAGTAATATATTACTCGTAGAATTAGATTCCAGTGGTGGCTGCATAGGATTGTTTCCAACTTGTGTGATCCAAACATTTCCAACAAACATTAACAATAATAAAAAATATATATTTTAACTGTGGTCTAAAAACAGTTTGCCTTACTGGAGACAAACAGGAAGCATGCATAACATGACGAGTTATTCTGATTAAAGAAAGTTGATTTGAATAAGTATGTATATAGTTGTTTAGTATGAATCATTTTACTCAGATTGAAGATTTCTTTTGATTTTTTTTTTTTTTTACGTCATAAAATTTGATGACAGACATTCGAAGCTTAATTCGAAAAACCTCAATACAAGCTTTGGATGTAAAAGGTCCAGCCCTATATTAGGGATGTGCGTGATAAGTCGACTGGTTGATTAAACGTTGCTACCCTCGCTAGTCGGCACCAGAAATACTCGTCGCTGTCTCAGCTGTTGCTGCAAAGAGCCACCAGCTCCTTCTGCAGCAGCGGCGACTCTCCGCTTTGATCTGAACTTTGCTGCTTCCGACTCACTTCCGCCCCGCCGTGTTCTCCCGGCACCCGCCTGCCACCGCCTGTTCTTTCTGAATTAGCTGCTGGGTTCAGCAGTCAGTCAGGTTCTTTAGACTGGATTGGCAGCAGATAGAGATGTAGCAAATCTCGTTTTCTTTGTCGTAGGAAGCTTTGATTTTTGAATGGAGCATTAAATGCCTCTTGTCTTATTTTATGACATTATCACCCAAAGACATGGGAGAAAGGTCAGCCCACCTTAAGTGAGCCTGAGTAGTTGTAGCATTTATTCACAAACATAAAAGCTGTACACACAATCGTCGCTCGCTGTGTGTGTGTTTGAGTGGGACAGAGGGGAGGAGAAGGTGTAAGGTAACTTGCACACTTCTATACCAATTAATGGTAGAAGTTATGCCAAACCATAACTCTTCTTAGACCACAGTCCCCGCTGTCGTTTCATCAAATATTACAACACACTACTTTGTGAGGCGTATTTCTAACCCAGAGCAGACAGTGGGGGCATATTGATATCAGCAGGACTTAGATGTAATACGTTTTTTATTTTGTAAATGCGATTAACTATTTTAAATTGGCTCCCACAAACAATGTTTAACCTTTTTTTTTTAATTGTAATTGTGCAACATTTTGACTGTTTTCTGAGTGTCTTTTTTACTTTTAGACAAAATCGACTAGTCTAAGTTAAAGTTTCCGTTTAAACGTCGGGGAAACTGGGCGTTAGGAACATCCTCACCCTAAGGACAACAAGGACATAGTTGGACTAAGCGGTCTCCCATCTGTGTGTATAAATTGTAGTGAATATAAATAACTTTTTGTCTGTCAAGTAGTTAACCTACAGCGAAAATTTAGAGCGTTGATTGCCCGCATGAATGTGAGTGTGACACATGACCCCTGCAGGAGCCGGCTCTAGAAGCCGTGTGCAAAGGTAACCTGTTGGAGCCAAATCAGTGGAGCGGGATTTAACTCACTGTAAAAGAAAAATCAGCATTATTGGAAGATTTCTGTTTTTGTCAGCATGATGTCTTGATGGAGAATGTCATGCAAGTGGGAATAATCACTCTAAGCATGAATATACTTTTTGTGTTGTGTATGTGGTTCGGATTAAAATCCCTAATTGTGTCGTCATGGAAGAACATAGTACTGTACACATGGACCCATGGATAAATACAAGGGTGAAACTAGTGTATAATGGTCAGATATGTACAGATGCCATCATTCATTTCATTATTCCCTCCTGCACTTTTCTTCTGTAATACTGTATTGACTCGTCTTTCTTTTTAATCTTTTCTTCAGAAATGAAAATGAAGTACGATTTTTTTTTTTTTTTTTGTTTGTTTTTTTTTGTTTTTTTTGTTTGTTTTTTCCTTCCATTTTATCTGTTGACGTCCAAAATGCGTTTCCTCTAGAGGTAGAACAAGAGTCCCGTGTCATCTTTGTTCTGAACACGTACAGCGTTTGCAGCAACAACCCGATGGAGTCAGAGACCAGAGGAGCTGGGGGAAGGCTCATTACTCTCAATCAGAAGACATCGGGGTCGCACTGTGGAAGTGCAGAGAGAGTGCATTAGGCTCATGCAATGTGTACCAGGTAGTTGCTGCTGTAGCGTCTTGTAATTAGGATTCAGGAAGGCAGTTTGACAATTGCAGGCTTTACATTATCCACATTTCCCCCTTAACTAACTGTTATGTTAGCAGTGGTGACTCTAATTTGTTGATTTCTTAATTTGAATTTCCCTAATCGGTAACTCTCTTACTCTGTAGGGAAATCCAAGCTAGCAGTTGTGTATTTTTTTTTTAAAATTTCTAATTGCTGTCATTTTGTCATTATCATTACTGCTTCAATAATGTTGCTTGATCACCATAATTATGTGTGATTTCTTGTGGTCATTGTGTGCTTGAGGACCGTTTTCCCCTCTCTACTTTGCGTGTCGGGGTAATTTTGTCCTCGTTCTGTAGCAAGCAGTGCAAACAAAAGACGAGACCAATTCAAAGTTAACAGCTCAAGCCAGATTTTATGAGATAAAAATAGAATAAGATCTTATAAATGTGTTTCAAATACAGCGATATTAAAGAAAAGAGGATCTCAAATAGGGTCAAATAAGGTTTCATAAAATACAATTGAAATGAAAACCAGTGCTCACTCTTGTGACTGTTGCTTTACTCTAAGCTTCACGACAAAGCTTTAGTCTACCATGTGCTGTGTGTTTCGACATATGAAAAGAATTGTACCTTCAAAAGACTACAAAGCAGACTTCTGATTGGGGGGAAAGAAGCAACCATTAACAATGTAAAGATGTCCCCACTTGTTTTTGTGGTCTAGAGAGTCGGTGAAACCGGAGCCAGAGGATGGAGACTTTGCTGCAAAGAAAACCGGATTGAAAAGGAAAAGAATTAAGGATGAGGCCATGGAAGGCCCTTCACGCTCCTCTGCTTCACCTACGTAAGTCAGCACTTTTAGCCCCTGATTGGCCAGAAATGAGGGCATACTTAACATTATTAGAGTATGGTTAGCAACGTTGTTTTGGCATCTGAAACTCATGTTAATATTTGTGTGTATGAATATTTAAATATGGTAGTTTCACATATTGTGTTAGCTATAACTGTTCTCTGTCTGTCTTTTGGGTACCTGCAGCTCAAAGACGAAAAATAAGCGACATGAAGAAGAAGCTCAGAAAATGAAGTTGAAGAAGAGAACAGAGAAGGTAAACCTCTGTCTTCCCAAGGTAATCTGTCTACATCACAATTACTCCCTCTATATACGTTTTCTGGAAATGTGGTTCACGATGGGAGTGTTTGAATTCATATCTCGAGTGTGTGTTTCTCGGCACAGACGGTGAAAAAAGAGGAAGGGGAGCACCCAGTCTCCAAAAAACCAAAGAGGACGAAAGAGGATATTGAGGGGGCAAAACAGTTGAAGATCAAAAAGAAGGAGGAGGAGCAGCAGAGTCGCTGGAGATGGTTTGGATATGCTGCTCTTTTTTTTTTTTTTTTTTTTTTTTTTTTTTTGTTTTCTTTCTTTCTTTAGCAGGCCTTGACCCACCCCCACCACACACACACACACACACACTCACACCCAATCAAACACACACTACACGGGGAAACCAGAGAGCAGCAATCTCCACTTTCTCAAATGCATCCTCATTTTCTCACCATCTTGCTGTCTGTCAGGTGGGAGGAGGAGAAGTATGAAGATGGGGTGAAATGGAAGTTCCTGGAACACAATGGACCCTCCTTCCCTCCTGAGTACCAGCCTCTGCCGAACAACGTTCACTTCTCCTATAATGGTCAGTTGAGCATGGACGTTTTCTGAGTTAGAACAATATTGAAAGAGTTTCTCACACATGTTTTCTCTAATGACTGTAATTTAAAAAAGTCTTGGTTCCTCTCAGGCGCTGTTCAGACCATTCAAAGTAAATTAAAAGCAGTACGTAGTAACATCACTTTTCTCGTTTTCTTCATGTTAACTTGCGCTGCATAAAAGCGGAAAGCTAGAAAAACAAAAATCCATGCGGAGAGCTTTCAAAATGACACAAAACTGACCAGTAAATAAACTGGGGAGGCAGAAGTAGTGATACCAAAAATAAAGATATGGTGACAACAAATGATCAAAAAGATAGATATCAGAGAACAGCTCAATGCACCCAAAATGTAAACTTAAATTAAGTTTACGATCATGTGCACTTTTAGAACACAAGTGAAATAAGACTCACCCTAAAGCTTCGAAGTTTTTATATATATATATACGCATAGCACCAAACATCCCCTTCAAATGTCATATGAAATAATGTATCATAATCCCACATTATTCACTCTGCATCAACATTAATTATTAGTTCTTCTCACTCGCTGTTTGTTGTGTAGAGGCTGCATGTGTGTGCTATCCTGGGTACTGAAACGCAGGAGAGGAGATCAATAAACGAAGCCAGGTCCTTTATTTTTTTTTGTTTGCATCGGCTACGGTATATTTATTTATTCATTTATAGGCCTACGTATGAGCAAATTATTATTTTATGGGCTATTGCTATAACTTATTTGATGTGAATATTGCACATTTTGCCACCGTTTTTGTTTCAATTACAAGGAAATCTTTAAAGTTCGACTTTGTTCTCATTCGACAATAATAGCAAAGAAAGTAAGTCTTGGCTGCAGGTTTGAGGAAAGTCTTACAGCGTGTGTTGTCGTCGTCGTCCCGCCTGCCACAGATGTTTCAGCAGGAGGTTCTCTCCCTCTCTGTACCTTTTGGTGACATCATTTCGGTTTCCTATAGCGTGTATATATATATATATATATATATAGTGTTCTCTAAAAAAATTCCTGACTCAACTAATTCCATCACTTTTTGTGTGGTTTCTGGGACACACTGTCTATAATATGATGGCCCGGCTCAGTTATGTCAAAGAGCAGTCGTCCCCCAGCGGGACAGTTGACCTTAAGAAAGCACTGAAGCCACGTCCGGTGTGTCTAAAGTTAAGGAAAATGTCTGAAGTGTTAAATTGCATTCATGTCCCCGACTCGTCAAAAGACCTTTGCCCTTTTGTACAAATTTGAAAATGAAATGATACTGTAACATCAAAAGAAACTGCTTTGATATCATCCTGGAATTCTGTAGATTCTCAACCTTTATTAATCTTTAGAGGAGGTGTGGACAGGTTGGGAATAAAACAAAAGAGGTCTTTGAAGTGGGCAGATCTATGGATGAAGGTGTACAGGCACACACAAACATGCACAATTGGATCTTCAGGACGCTGAAGGTGTATCGGGTCAAACACTGATTGCTTTGTTAAGCAGTCAAGCCACAACAGTGTCCTACAGGGAGCTGGTTTGATCTATTCATTAGATGCTTGCATGTACTTGTTTGTAGCTCACTCTTAGTAGTGGGGCTGCATTTAGATATTTTGTCCTTGTCTCTGAGCCACCACTATACATCCATGCATTAGTCTGACAGGACTCTAGAGGAGGCGGCTGTTATACTGTAGCATGTGGGATTTAGATCGGAGCTTCCTAATGTGTGTGTGTTCGAGTTTCTTTTGTAACTTGTAAAAGAAGAACCCCGCGTTGTGTTGTGTTGTGTTGAACGTGAGCTTGTGTTGGTCTGTGTGCAGGTAAGAAGGTGAAGCTGAGCCTGGCAGCTGAAGAGGTGGCATTGTTCTTTGCCCAGATGTTGGACCACGAGTACACCACCAAGAAGGTGTTCCGGGAGAACTACTTTAAAGACTGGAGGAAGGTAAAGCCAGAAAGAGTCTTGGATATATTGTCAGTTTTGCGACAGAAAAAAGCACCCCTAATAGGGTTAGGCGATATTGAAATTCTCCTACTGACAATGTTGCTGTAAGATAGAAATGATCATCCAAAAAATGGCATTACACAATGCATGTACTAGATTAACAGCTAGTTAGTTGGTTATGTTTCCTTAGGTATAGCTCTTCTACTGATGCTTGGTTCTCCCGACAGGGTCAACAACACCACGGTTGAATGTCAGCCTGCGTGCTTGTCTTTTTTCAGCTCAACATTATTGAATTTGAGAAGTTAATATTGGGAGCAAGAGCGACAGGCCAGCGGGCTGCCGAGCGTCGCCTCTCTGCTCAGGGCACAAGGAGTGTGTTTCAGCTCACAGAGATCAGGGGAGAGGAGAGAAACGAGTGCAGTAAAGACGAAACTCCCCATTATGTTTTGTCACTGCATCGAGTCAACTGATTGTAACTGCCCTCATACAGTCTCGCCCTGTGGACCGCCATGTTTATAGTTGCTTGCCTTTGCAGAAGGTGGTGACTGAGGGTTGATTGCTCTTGGTGATAGTTTTTGGCTTCTTCAATGGAGTCTGTGGCTGACTCGAGTATTCTGAGATTTGTGGTGTTTCTATCTTTGGTCCAGACTTGTTAGTTGCTTGTTGTGGCTGGTATCTGTACCCTGGTGTTTGTCAGGATGTCCTATGCATGGAGAAAACACCATGCCAAGCCCCAAGTCATATCATGCAGAATTAATTTTGCGCTGCTTAGTGCTCAATGCACTTGAAAACACGATTTGTGTGAAGGCATTGGTATGCTAATCCATACAAGTAGCTCCCCTGCATATGAACAAATCCAATTAAACTGTTATTATAGCCGGAAAAACTCTTCCTCGCTCCACTGCCCTCGGTGCCTGCCCACAGTTGGGTGTCAGTCATCCTTAGACACGGAGACTGACTGCGTGTCTGTTCTGTCGAGAGTGTTTCTGGAGAGAGGTGCGTGTTCTGTGCATGTGCATGAATTCAGTGTAAACGCCACTCGTGTTGTCGTGACATTTTGGCACCAGAAACTTCCAAGATATGAACCGTAAAGTCTCCGCTGAATTGCTCCGTATTGCTGCACTGTTGGTGGCCTCTCTGATGGGGTGACCGCTTGTGCAATAACTTTAGAAGGTTGACAATTATAGTTGAAACTCAGCTGCCCTTCTGCTGCCTTCAGTGTACTGCTGTGTCATGCCTTCGTAGGAGGAAATGGTCTCTACTCTGGCCTTTCATAACGATACCGCTGTCCGCTCAGCCTCCGTAGAGATGAGAGGTCACTAATCTGCGTCGATCATGCTCGTCTCCTTTTATTTATTCTTTATGATGCATTATTGTATGCTGCGCTATTTGACAGACAAAGGTTGTGTACTCTATTAATAGCTCCTAGTGAAATGACTAAAGCAGCGTTGTGTGCGGATCCTTTGTCTCTTTCTTCCTTTAGTTAAACATTTTCAATCTGCACAGAACAAGCGTTTGAATTTGCATACTTGTTATGATCCATATTGAAGTTTTGATTTAACAAGTCAGTTGGTTTCATCAGAATTTCCATTGAACTTTAGATAAGTGGTGGAAAATGGATGGATGGATAACTAATTATGTAGTCCAGAAAATGTCATAAATCTCGATTTCAACAAGATTGATGATGATTTAATTTTCTCACATACGCATCTTTGTCACTCAAGGCTGTCTGTGTTTTTATGCAGATGCAACTAAGAAACATTCAAGAGTGTCAGATTTGTGTGTTTGTGTCTGTTTAGGAAATGACCCATGAGGAGAGGTTGCTGATCAAAGATCTTGATAAGTGTGACTTTGGAGAGCTCCATGCCATGCATAAAGCCAAGGTGGAGGCCAGGAAAGTCCTGACCAAAGAGGAGAAACTGGTAAAAAACAATGTCTCTGTCTGTGCCATATCTTCCATATCATAAGATTATTATGATATGATATGTTAGTGTCTAAAGAAGGTCAATATGGATCATTTAGGTTAAAAAAAACAAACTTGTTTGTTTGATTTCTGTTGTAGGTTTTGAAAGAGGCCAACCAGAAGGTGGTGGATGAATACGGCTACTGTCTGCTGGACCACCACAAAGAGCGCATCGGCAACTTTAAGATTGAGCCTCCGGGGCTGTTCCGTGGTAGAGGCGAGCATCCAAAACAGGGCATGCTGAAGAAGAGGATCCAACCGGAGGATGTCATCATCAACTGCAGCAAGTGAGAGTGAGGCAAGGGGATGAAACTGTACACAGAGAGGTGTGACAGCGTAGTGATGCATAAGTAAAGACTGGTGTGACCAAGAGCAGCATTTGCTAAAACTCCGTCACCCCAGCTGCTAAAAACCCAGCGGTAACACCTCTTGATGTGACCTTCTAGCTGGAAGACCTCAATGTGCACAAAGTGTTTTAAAAGCTGTGAATCATAAGAAAATCTTTTCAAAATGTCCATTACCATGTTTGTTAGTATGAAGCAATGCATATCCGTATTGACAGCTGCACAGGCAATGGTAGTACACTGCTACAGATGGTGTGGTGTTTGGATTTTGACTGTGAACGTTCGCTTTAGGTAACTTCAGAAATCCGGTATGTTAAAGCAACCTTAATTCATATCACGGTACATTTCAACCATTGAATCCATTTCTGGTTCTGGTGTCGTACGTGTATGTTGAGAAGGCGTGAGCCCCTTCAGGATAGGATAGTAGGATACTTCCATGCTGTGACCGCTCACACACACATTCCGTCTTGCACTCTCTCCTTAATTGACAGAGAATCCCGCATCCCCGTGCCGCCTACTGGTCACCGCTGGAAGGAGGTTCGACACGACAACGCTGTGACATGGCTAGCCAGCTGGACTGAGAACATCCAGAGCGCCATTAAATACATCATGCTGAATGCCAACTCCAAACTCAAGGTAGCAAAAGTAAACCGGGCCATAACCGGTTCAGGGCTAAATGAACACTTTCTAATTTAAACAAGTTGTTATAGTTCAGGGACAGGAAGGCACAGACTGTGTGTGGCTTTATTTAACTCAAATGTTTTTTTTGAACACTTTTTAGTTTAGATTGGATTTTCAGTTCATAAATACACTAATCCAATTGTCCTGCAAGCACCTTAATGCACCACCAGTAAAATGCTGCAATAGCAGCCTCTGTTCTCAGCTGCTTGCCACTCAACAAAAATGTAATATTGACAAAAGTGACAGCTGTCATGTTATTCACAACGGATTATGTATCTCAAGACAACTTTTACAGTTAATTTAAGTTATTTTTGTTTCATACCACGCTGACATGAAAGGAGACCAGTCACTGACTGAAAGGTAGAAAATAAAAAACACATTCATCAATCAAAACCTTGTAGTCAGCCTTGGAAAATGTTTTTTGGGTGTTTTTTAAACAAATTGGTCAGCCTTATCTGCCATTGCTTAGCAAAGCACCATGGGCTAACAACACCAATAACAAGAGAAGCATGCGGGTAATGCAGGCGCCAGGTTTTGTCGAGAAAGAAGAAAATGTGAAGTGAAAAAAGATCTATTGGTCTGCTCAATCAGTTCTTTTTTTATTTTAAACTAAGCGATTCATCTTGCCATTGTTAGTGCTAATTATTTGAGGTCAGCTTGGAGTCTGAAAATTGTCAAATAATATTGGCTGCCTGCCTCTCGCACACACTGAAATGAATGGTGCTGAAAACAGCCTGCCATCCAGCTGAGAGTAAAGAGATATATTCAGTTAGAATACAAACAAGTAGAACAAAAATGTCATCAGTCAAAATGTGCAGTCCACGCGCCAGATGGTTTGTTAGACAGACTCCGTCATTGGAGACTCTTTGGAAAATGGGCAGGAACTTTAAAAAAACAATTGTCGGGTAATTGAATGAACCATCTGTCAATCAAACTCTCACTGAAGCCAGTCGAGAGACGAGCACAAACATCCTCTGCTCTTCTTTCCATTAAGAATTACTCGCGAGTTGTGATACAGCTGATGCTATTGCGGCGTCTACGCTACCCTCTTTAGGAGCCGCCATTGTTGTTTTGAGCAAACAGTTGCCTCTGCGTCACTCACGTCAGACACTCACACCTAACCGCGCCCGTAGCTCCTCACAGGATGCCGATTGGTCCGAAACACTGTAGAGCCAACACAAACGCATTACATTAAACCTGACGAGACGGGTTTTTCAATTTGTCAATCCACTTACAAATAATATTTACACTTTTAACAGATATAGAAAGGCCAATTTGAACCCTATTGGTTTCCATTCAAGGCTGTGCTTTTGTTTTATTTGCTTACAAGTTGAGAGGATGCCATCTCATTCCTTTATCGGCCCTCACACTGTTGACCTCAGACCACAGCTATGATTCTGACATTAGATCTGTATTGTATAACTACAAGCACCAAGCATGCTTTCATGTCATGGTCAATACAACCCAACTGTTTATGTAAAAGACGTGTGTGACTTCTTGTCATCATTTCCTGTCTCTTCCTCTTCTTTCATGTGTAAAGGTTAAGTTATTCCACTCAGTCTCCATAGTGGGTTTAATTGTGTCTTAATCCCATCTCCCGATAAACACTATAGCCAGCGCCAAACAGGCAGAGGACATGTAGTCAATAGAGTTGTGATATTCAGCCTGCTTTCATGTCATCATTACCATTTTGATTACTGTTTTGATCAGAGGCTTTTCAAGAAAATTACTTTTCTGTTCTCATTTTGTTTCTTCAATTCTTTGTTTCATATTGCGCCCCCCCCCCCCCCG